TATTATTATTATTATTATTATTATTATTATTATTATTATTATTATTATTATTATTATTATTATTGTTATTGTTATTATTGTCATTGTCATTATCATTAATCAACGTCATCAAACTCGATACTTCAATTTGAAGTTTAAATAATTCCGAAGCTAAATTACCTTCATCCAATTCAATTACTTTACTCCAATCCTTATTACCTGTACTAATGATAACATGTTTTGAATAAGGTTGTATGGTATCTTTTAATGGTGATTTGTAATCTATTTTTAAATTTGAAGGATAAGATGGATGAATTGAACATGGTGTTTGACATGTTTGACATGAATAATTATTTAATATATTATTATTATCTATATTTCGTAAAGAAGAATTTGTGGGTGAATTTAAATTATTGTTATTGTTATTATTATTATTATTGTTGTTGTTGTTGTTGTTGTTGTTGTTGTTGTTGTTGCTGCTGCTAGGTATAGTAGTAATAGTAGAACCTTTATTAGTAAATTGTAATGAATGCTGAGTTGAAAAGGATTTGAAATTAAATTGAAAAACAGATAAAATTTTATCCATATTTTTGATATTATTGATATTATTGATATTTTTGATATTTTTGATATTTTTGATATTTTTGAAATTGTTAATATGAATAAATGAAAATAACGATGATGACAAGAGAAGAGAATGATTAGAAGAATGATTGAGAAAACGAAAACAAAAATTTAAAATCATCCAAAAAAAAACAAAGGTATGAAAATGGGTATTGAAATGGGTACGAGAATGGGAAAGAAAAGAGTGTATGAAATTGTATGAAATTTGTAAAAAAAAAATCGTTATTTCATATTTCAGTGTGATGAGAATGTGACGAAAACTGTAACTGTCCCTTCAACTCGGTAAACTATTTTTTTTTTTTAAAAAAAAAAAATCATTTTTTATTCTCTATTTATTTATCGTTCCGAAATTTCCGAAATTTGCCGAGCAAGGACAATATATTTTTTTAAAAAATGGATTATAATTCAGTTATTATTATCAGATTGTTATACATAACATTTGAATATAAATAGAATAAATTTCGGAGTTTTACATAAATTATAAATAATGAAATAAGCCCAATCCGATAGAATATCTGATAAGTAAACTTTACTTGCTATTTTTCATTAAAATGTTAAATATTTGTAAAGTTATAAATTTTTAATTAATTCAGAATTTATCAGATTTTTTTTTACAGATCTTTACTTTCTAAACGTCCGTGTAATAACACGTGAAGCCTAACATTCGCAATAGAAATTCGGGAATACTTCATTTATTATATTTATATTATTCTTATTACCTTTTTGTCCTGTAATTAATATATACGTCATTTTCTACAAAAGAAAAATCAATTATTATTAGCTATACTAAATTTTGTAGTAGTAGAAGATTTACAAGTATTATTGTCACCATTTCTATCTTTTTACAAAAAAATTTATTATTAAATATTCAAAAGTATTTCCAATATATTAATAAATATCTATAATATATACCTGTATTAATTGTTTTCTCTTATTTTCTGATATCGATCTAAGTAAAATTTTTTCTATTTCTTCACTTATAAATACACCTTTGACGTTAGAACAATTTGTCAAATAAATTAGCTACGCATTAATTCTGTTGCTTGAACTCCCCATCTCTTCTCCTTCTGGATTTCCTCATAGAAGGTTTTCCTTTCTAAAGGAAATCATAAATATCAATATATTCATGTTAAAAGAGACAACTTTCAATTGCATAACTCATCATTTTTGAGTACCTATTTATTTAATGAATTCTGTGCCATTTTCCTACTTCATTAATATAGTTATTGTGCTCTAATGTAAGCTTCACAGTGAACGGATTCTAAGAGATTATGAAACAATAGCTGAAATTGAGAATAAATATCTATATCTAATTTTTCAAGAACACTTACATTTTGCTTCTCTCTGTATGTGTGTTTTACCCCCCCCCCCCCCCCCGAAATTCTTTTCGTCTCATTCTCTATTATAAAAAAAAAGATTTGTTCTAAGTAACTAATGTTACTTGGCTGACAGCTGACATCAGTGATGTTTATGAATACATGACGGATACAACTCGGCCTAGAAAAGTTCGTACCCAAGCACGATAAATATTCGATTACGCAAACGTTGCTATCACGTGCCTATGTGACCTTCGAGATCGCCATGTAATTGTTACTTATGAGGAGCAAAAAGGAAATCTCATTGTAATAAATTCGACAATTTTAGCATAAAGTATTTAACTCAAGAAGGATCGTGAAGAGAATTGAATTATCCTAACGTTTAGTATTATGAATATCTGCATATAGTCATTCCAAAACCTAAATAAGTTTAAAGATTAAATGCATTTTCGATTTATTAATCAAGATTATTTACTATTTTTTTCGATCATAAAGTTTAAGAGAATAGGAAGATTATACTGATACATGTGAAAATTGAATTAATATATGTGCATTGTAATAAATAAACCAACTGCTAACACAATCAAATTGCAACAAAGAACACTTCATCCTCTCCAAAACCGCTTTTTGCGTTCCTCTACATTTGTTAAGATCCATGCCGATCCAACGGGTGTAATTGGGCAGTAGATTGTTGAGCTTAGAAAGAGGGAGGAATAAAAAAAGCGTTAGGGATAACGTTGCGAATGTTTCTACGAGTGGTATAGGGTTCGGTGTTACGTGTGAAACAAAAAATGCTACGGAGTTTTCATCTCGGCGCTTATTTGGCCGTTGGTTGCATAACAGCATAATAGACAAGAAAACCGTACTGATGGATCCAAAGCTTAATTTGGGGTAATTATAAGGACTCACATTTTTGAATTGTCTCTCGTATTTCGTAATTTCTTTTTTGGAAGCTAGCTTAAAAATTGTTTTAAGCGCCTCGCGGGTAGATATGAAATCTTCTAAATTTTCAAAGTCTTCGAAAGAGTGATCGTTTGTTAACTACAATGACCCAGATAACTTTATACGTTATACTTACTCGTTGAATGAAGGATAGGTGGGGTTGCTTGTTGAACAAGGCATAATGGCTATATGAAAAGTATTAGGTCACATAAAAAAATATGTGAAATCTAATTTTAATCTATCGACATTTTAATTCTCACCGTTCGATAACTGTATAGTCCAAATACAATAGTTATGATCGAGGCACAGAAAGCGAAAGGGAGAGCCTAAAGAATATGAGAACAAGTTAGAAAGGCGATAAAGGAAGTAACAAAATTGTTTTCAAAGTTTGCAGAGAATACGAAAACGTTCCATACAGACCAGCCAGCCAAAAAACGCACACATTGTGGTATGATAGCAAACCAGACGAGGGGTAGGAAGAATTTTGCATAATATTGGTGATGAAATTTATATAGGTACACACTTTAAAGGAATACGCGCAGCAAAAGAAGTTTATCATGTGATTTTCTTTAAATAATGTTTTTAAGTGTGAATGTAAGGAACTTGCTCTCTCGTTCGCGTTTACATGAGGAAAAGTTGTAAATCGAATTTGGCTGTAGTAATTACAGCTTTAGTCTTATGTTGTCATGTTTATATTGTTAAAAAAAAAAGTTAAAAAGAAAAGATAAATGATTTATCCCAATTATGTGACTGTTAAGGATCATTTTTTGTTTCATTCTCAGTATATCACAAGTTTGTGCTAATTCTTGCTTAAATTTTTCAATGAGAGAAGTTTTTTTCGTTGCTAATAAATTTATTTCTTGTTCTAAAAGATTTTGGATACTCGATTTTTCATCCTCACCTTTTTTTCTATAGTTGTAGATTGGTTTTTTTCATATTAATATTTTTACTGGAGATAATCCTATATGTCATTTATTATTATGTTATAAAAGATAAAAAGTATCTCTCTTTCAGTGTACTTTAAACATCCTGCGAGATAGTGATATTAAAAAATAAAATATGAACCATCAAAAACAAAATCAATTGTCTCCATTGCCTAATCAAGCAAATATCTTTTTTAAAATCGTTACTCTTTTTTTCTATTGAAGGGCTTTTTCAATTTTTTTTTTTTTTGTAAACCTGCCAACGCAAAAGCAGAACCAATCGAATTGGAAATTGATGGCAAAGAAGAGCCACCTTATTGGTGAGATAGACTTTTATTTACAGAATGGTATTTTGGTTATCATTGATAAAAAAAAATCAAAGAATATTTTTTTCTCAAATGATAAAGTGATGAAGATTTTATCAAAGCAAAGCGAGTAGATAATTCAAATAAAAGCATAATCTGAAAGACAAAAATAATAAGTTTTCGTTTAGGATTTATTACTCTGTTTATTTTTCTTAAAGAGAATAACATTGACCGCTATTGTGGCGTTAACAATTTGAAATCTTTCTGTGGCGTTATGTTTACTTTATATAATATTTTATAATAAATAAATTTGATTCTTGTCTCTTTCTTGATAAATTATAAATTAAAAATTACAGTATAAATAGAATCACTTCTTTTAATAATTATGATGTGATTATTTAAATTAAACAAACCCAAAACCAAAAATGAAATATTTTATTGTGTCAGCGAAAATCTAGTTGAAAATCACGAGGTAACATTTGTAATATTACAAAAATGATTGATAATCGTGACAGGCGATTATTTTTTATTCTTTCCCATACTATATATTACGATTTTGATTTTTCCTGTTTTTTCATTTCTCGATAATCATATAATTTTAATTATTATAATTTTAAAGATAATTTAAAAGATAATTCAAGTATTAATTTAAATATAATTTAATTTCTAGTAATGATACGTTCAATTTTAACGAATATTTTGACTAAATTTAATACAAAATCTAAAATATCCAAACTTATTATTTCATCTCATAAATATGCTGCTGCTGCTTCATCAAGAACTATATCATCAAATGTATCATCATCGTCATCCACAACGACGATAAGTAATATAAGTGAAAAGAAGTCAACAAATCTTATTAATAATCCAAATAATAATAATATTATTAATAATGGTTTAGGAATATTTGAAGATGTTCCCATAAATTCCGAAATATTTAAATATAAAAGATTAAGAGCTCCCGAAATATTTAAAGAAACATGCCCTCCCAAATCATCATTAATGTTGGTTCGAGATTTTATTGATGATTCATTGTATAATCCAAATTATGGATATTTTTCTAAGAATGCCATCATCTTTTCACTAGAAAAAGATTTTGAGTTTAATGAAATCAAAGATAATTTAGAATTTGGGAATTTGGTGGCAAAAAAATATGAACAATTTGAAAATAATTTGGATAATTCTAATCCTAATAATAATAATAATAAAAAAATTTCACGTCAGGTTTGGCATACTCCGACTGAATTATTTAAGGTAATTATATACTCTTTATTTATAAAAACTCTTTATATGCGCTCTAATTATATATACACTTTATTTTTTACATATACACTTTATTTATATATTTACACTTTTTATTATTTAGCCATGGTATGGATATGCAATGGCTAAATATTTAGTCACAGAATATAAACTAAGTGAATCACTTTCACATGATTTAATTATTTATGAACTTGGAGCAGGAAATGCCACATTGATGAATAATATATTAGATTATATTCAAAAATTTGAGCCATCAATTTATAAACGAACAAAATATAGGATTATAGAAATAAGTAAGAATTTGGTTAATCGACAATTTCAAAGAATTCGAAATAATAATAATAATAATAATAATAATAATAATAATAATGACAATGATAATAACAATAACAATAATCATCATCATGATTGTGTGGAAATTATTAATAAGAATATTTTTGATTGGAATGAAGTGATACCTGATCATTGTTTCTTTTTGGCTTGTGAAGTTTTGGTAATTATTCATATTTATTTATATTTTATTTAAAGAGAAAGAGAAACAATATAACAATATTCAATTTTTAGGATAATTTTGCGCACGACTTAATTCGATATGATACAATGACAGAAAAGCCATATCAAGCGGTAGTAATAACAAATGATAAAGGTGATTTTGATGAATTATATGAACCAGCTGCGGATCCATTAATTTCTCGATATTTGAAATTACGAAATCAAACCATGTATAAATCTCCAGCTTTACAAAATCGATTTCTTCGTCAAATTCGTAACAAACTTCCATTTGCACCTAATTTAACTCAATCCGAATTTATTCCTACCAAAATGTCATCATTCTTAGAAATTTTAAGAGATTATTTTCCTTACCATAGATTAATCATTTCAGATTTTTATAAACTTCCTGATACAATTAAAGGTATAGATGCTCCGGTGGTACAAACCAGACATCAACAAACAATGATACCTTGTTCAACTTTTATGGTATCTCCTGGTTGGTTTGATATATTTTTTCCTACTAATTTTGAATTATTAAGAGATATTTATCAATTAGTTTGTAGATCTTGCCATTCTGAAGGGAAAATAAGAGTATTAAGTCAAAAAGAATTTCTAAAGAGATATGCTGATCTTGAAAGAACTAAAACTAAAAGTGGCGAAATACCTTTATTATTGTATTATGAAAATGTCAAATTTTTGTTAAGTTAATTAATTATTTATTTTTCGTTATTTACTTCTCATTAATTATTTTAATCATACTTTTTATTCTTCATTAATTAAAATTTTATTTATTTTATTCACTCGATCAAACTTTAATCATACCTTAATCATTTACTTTAATCACACTTTAATCACACTTTAATCACACTTTAATCATAACTTTAATCATGACTTATTTGATTTTAATCCAACTCAATGTGATATATGAAGTAATGTGATATATGAAGTAAAAATAAAATAAATAAAGTGAATAAGCGTCCTTATCCTGTTCAAAGTTTAATAAAAGATTTTTAGATAAATTTTTTAAAAATAAATAATAATTAAATATATAACATATCTCAACAAAAAAGTTTAATAAATTATCATTTTGAATAATTACTTTTATTTATTAGATTATTTTTAAAAATAATATCTTACTATTCTAATAATTAAATGAAAATATGTATGGACTATTTAGTTCGGTGATTTTATTTTATTACTTAATTTATCCTAACAATTAGAAACGACTTTATCTTAATCACATGGATTTTTAACATTTTACCTTATTCATCTATATTTTACTTCCAGCTTTACTTTATTTATTTATTTATTCAATCATTTAATTTATACACTTATGGACACAATGGTCTAAAAAATTATATTTGAAGCATTTTTCGGTAAAAAAGTATCAAGTTTATTTTATTTTATTTTATGAATTCTTTAAATTCTATAAATTCTATAAATAAATTTCCCCTTTGTTAATATCATATAAAGTGATAATAATAAAAAATGACAAAGTTTTCACTTTTAGGAAAAATAACTTTAGCTTCAGTTATAGGGCAATCGATAATTGTTGCAGTATTAGAATCATTGGTTATTTTTTTTCATGTTAAATTCGTTGGAAATTTTATATTAGATGAATTTGGAGAGGGGATTTCACAAGTTGATTTGATTTATCATTTAATGTAAGTTCAATTTTTTCGATTATTTCTTTTTATTCACTCTTATTCAATTCTTATTCAACTTTTTATTCAAACTTTTATTCAAATTTTAGATTCATTATCGCATTTGTATTCCAAGCATTAATATGCATTGATGCATTAAGAAACAAAAATCCAATTCAATTTATAGCCTTATTAATATTTAATCTATTAACCTTATTATATGCGGTAATTCAATTATATCAACATAAAACTTTAGAAGATGAAGGAACCGAAAGTGCAAATTTCATAGAAAGCAGTAGATTCGAAAATCGAACAAAAGTTAAAATTTATTTTGAAGCTAGAATGAGACCTTTGGAATATACTATTATGACTTTTATTTCTACTTTCTCGGTGTATTTGGCTTTCATGACGTATAAACTGTAAGTTGTCACATTACATTTATATATTTAATCCCATTTTATTCATTTTTATCACATTATAAAATATACGTTCAACAAACAGATATTCGGAAATGGAATGGGATAATTATAAAAAATATTCTGGTGATATTAAAATCAGAAAAGCATTTGTGACTTTATCAATCTTGCAAACATTAATAAAAATGGATATATTCTTTATCGGAGCTTACGCTATTCAATTAATTCCTTCACATAAGATGGGACATTCTTTTTCAATTATTGAAACAATCTTAATATTCGTATTAAGTGCCACATTATTATTAATGTCTTGGGTAGCGGTATCTCGAGAAAAGAAATATATTTTATTAAGTAATATTCATTTTATAGCAATATCCATAATCTATATAATATATAAATTATTTCAAGTTAATTTAAATCCTGATCGTTATCAATTTACCAGAATAATTATAACTTTCTTTTTGGTTACTGATTTTGTGTTAATTTCTGCTACTCTAGTTTATAGTATTATTTGTTTTTTAAATATGAAAAAAGGAATTTATGTGCTTGAAGTTTATAATAATAATGATACTGATATAGAGAATTCTTTATCTAACACTATTAGAAATAGTATAAAGAGGCATTCGAAGAAATTAAGTTTAAAACGAAAACAACAACGAATGAGTTCCGATAAAATGATAATAAATTAATTATATATAATAAAGTTGGTGTAAGTTCACGTGCGTCAAACCCAAAAAAAAAAATTTTTTTTTTTAAAAATAAATTTAGAGATATCCCACAAAAAAAAAATGATTTTTCCAAAATTTTCATCTATTACTATTACTGTTACTAATACTATTATTTCGTTCCCTTCTAATCATTATGTACCAATATTAGAAATTTTTAAAAATTTTCATTACTTTTCTTCAAATAAATTTTCTCATTACTATAAATTATCTCATTATCGTTTATTTTCTACAACTAATATTATTAAATATAATAATAATAAAAGATATGATGATTCTAGAAGATATGGCGATTCTAGAAGATATGATGATTCTAGAAGATATGATGATTCTAGAAGATATGATGATTCTAGAAGAAGACATGAAGATACCAGAAGATATGAAGATACAAGATATGAAGATACAAGATATGAAGATACCAGAAGATATGAAGATACTAGAAAATATGATAATACTAGGAGATATGATGATTCTAGAAAATACGATGATATCAGAAGATATGACGATTCTAGAAAATATGATACTACTAGAAGATATGAAGATACTAGAAAATACGATACTACTAGAAGATACGAAGATACTAGAGAATATGATAATTATAATAATAATTATAATGATGACAGTAAAGAATTTTCATCAAACAAACGACAAGAATCTAATTATCGAGAATATAAATCAAAACATCAACAACTTTTGCAAAGGAAATGGCAATTAAATGAAAAAGAAAAAAAAGAATTAAGATGGTTAACTAATAGATTACGTGATCATAGTAGATATTTGGCTCGAATTGATTTATGGAAGAATAATTATGAAAATCCAAATTTTGAATTTTTGAAAGGTATTTTTATTTTTATATGTAGGGTAAAGTAGAATTTTTATTTATGGAAATTAATTTCATCATCATTATTATTATGTATAAAGAATTTCCATTATGGTTGAAAGGACTTGAATTAGCAAAATTCACTTCAGTTTTTGAAGGAATGAAAATAAGAAATGTAATAGAATTTGATGAAGAACAATTGGAAAAAATAGGTATATACAGAAATGCTGCAAGAAAAGTATTGATAGAAGCTTTTGAAAAAATCAAACAAGCTTTAGTATGTTTTCTTTTACTAGAAATTTTCTATAATTTCCTATAATCTTCTATAATTCTCTAAATTTTTATTTAATTATGCTTTTTTTTTATAGAATGATCCAGAACATCCAAGTAGAATTGAAAATATTGATGAAATTTTGGATACTGTTATAGAAGTAAATTTTAAAATCATTTCATATTGTTTTATAATAATAATATATGTATTTATATATATATGTGAAATAGAATTATGAAAATAATGAAGAAAATTAAATATTGTAATTTAAAGAAATGTATAATAGTTCAAAAAGGTAAGTTTTTTAATAATAATAATTAAATTGCTCTTACTTAAATAAAACTTTATCACTATTAATTTTTTATTACTAATCATTAATTCTATAAACATAAATAGTTATAATTATATAAATTATTATTATTTGTTATTATAAATTCAATTTATAATAATTTCAACTTTTATGATAAAAAATGAAAATAAATCTTTATTTGAAATTTAATTTAAAGATTTAATTACAAAGTTGTAAAGACAATCTATTTTATGTTATATATAAATCCCACATTCCCCCTCTAATACCAATTATATGCCATCCTTTAATAGAAATCCTCTAATTATTTATTAATTAATTATTCATTAGTTTTGCTTTAATTTTGTTCCTTGAATAAATGGAACTTTAAGAATTACCAATATAAATATCATTAACATCAAGGATGCTCCTAACCCATAACATTTTTCAGATCCCATCATCCAATAAAGTCCACATGATGCTATTGGTCCAGAAGCACGACCTAATTGTCCAAATGATCTAAATTTTCCTAAAACTTTTCCTTTAGCTATTATATCACCACAACTAGCATCATTGTTGTTGTTGTTGTTGCTACTATCACATTGCATTGTTGCTATTGAAGTTAAACAATTCACAACTGTGGCAGATGTAAATGCCAAGAAAGTAGCACCAACGTAAAGCCATAAAATACCATTTGATATATTGGTTAAAGAAGCAATAATTGATAAAGCAATTGCACAAGATAATACGCCTTGAATCACCAATCGTTTTTCACCAATCTTATGCGCATTACGTCTTACATAACCACCTTGAATTATGGCTGATAATATTCCCACATATCCCAATAATTTTCCATTTTGCATATTGGTAAAATCAAATAAATCAAATGTTAAGAATGTGAGAGTAAATTCCATTCCAGAAAATGAAAAAAGAAATAGAAAGTGAATCCAATTTAAAATTTTTAAATTTTTTAAACGTTGTTCTCTTTTAATAATAATAATATTAGATGATGACTTTTTGCTTTGGTTAACTTGTTTAATTTCATTATCAATATTGTTATTATTATTACCATTGTAATTATTTATAATATTCTTATTCTTAATATCATTGTGATTATTCTTGCCAATATTGTTAATATTGTTAGAAATATTATTATAATTATTATTATTATTATTATTATTATTTGATGGATCTTTGGTGGGATTGGAAATATTAACTGTTTCCGGTAAAAATAAATATAGATATAAAGTTTCTACACTAAGTAAAATTAAAGCCAATAATGCTGGTGATGAATATGGATTTAATCCCCATTCAATAAATTGTGGAAATGATTTTGATAAATCTACAGAAGCAAAATATGCTCCAAGTGCGGGTCCAATTGTAAATGATATTGCAAATGCTATTCCTACTAATGCCTAATTATAAGAATTAATGACAAAAATTAATAACAATAATAATAATAATATAATAATTATAAAATAATAATAATAATAATATTTACCAATCCTTTGGATCTAGTTTCTTGGGTCGTCACATCTGAGACTATAGCAATTGATAATTGTACATTTCCTTCACTCAATCCTCCAACGATTCGTGAGATCACAAACCAACCAAAAGATTTAGAGAAAAGCCATATAAAAGTTGATAAAATATTTCCAATCTAGAATAAATATAATAAAAATAATAATGATAATAATAATAATAATTAATTATCTTATTTAATTTATTATTTATTATTTTTAATCTAAATAATTTAAATTATATTTATTTTTTTTACCATTGTAACTAATAAAGTATTTCTTCTCCCATATTTATCCGAAAAAGCTCCAATAAATGGCGCAGCAAGAAATTGTAAAAATGAATATAAAGATCCTAAAGCTCCACCCAATAGTACTAAATCCCATTTAGGATTCATTCCACCTCCTGTGAATTTTTTAAACAGTTGTATTTGATATAAGAACCATTTTAGAATTGTTGTTGTCTATAAAAAAATTATTATAAAAATTATTATATAAAAATTATTATAAAAATTACTATGAAAATTACTATAAAAATTAATTATAAATTATTATAAAATACAAATCATTTATATAATATTTTATTATACCTCCTCGCCTTTCTCTCTTTCTTGATACCCTTGTAATAATCTAGGAAATAATGGCAAAATAATTGTAAATGCCAAAATATCCAATAACAACGCTATGAAAACCACACTGACTGTTTTTTTGGTTTTTTGAGCTTCGAACGAAAGTTTTTTTCCTTCTTTTTTTTTAGTTTCCATATTTGACATTATTAATAAAAGTATTTCATATATTTTTTTTTTATAACTATGCTATGTATTTATCTTTATCTTTAGTAATGATGATATAATTATTATTATTAAAAAAAACTATTTAGAGAAGATAGTAAGTAAGTAATAGTGGAACATTTCATTTATTTACAGTATATATAAAAAAAATTTCGCAGATCGTAAATAAATCAAATAAATACAATAAATGCGAAATCAATAAATAAATGCGATAATTAAAATAATTAATAATAATATTTCTAACTTTAATCACAAAAGAATATTTTCTATGAGCAAAACCTTTAGTAAATAGCATTAGTCAGTTAGAAAGTAGATGCAATATTTTATCGGATGTTTCATCTCGCGAGATCTGCATGTATAAAATTTTTAATTGTTTGAGAATGGTTTTAAATATGGTTACGATGCTATGAATTTTATTATATTAAAAATTGAACTGATCAAAAATTATAGGATGGGTCATAATTTTGCTTGCTTCAAAGTATTATAGATGAGTATTATCTGGCAAACAAAAAAAAACCCTATTAAATGTCTCATCTTTTTTTTTTTCTAAAATAAATAAATATCTCTGTGTTCCTTTATCCAATCTTGTTTTATTACTAAAATAAAATCATTTTTTTTCTGGTTTATTCAATAAAATAAATCAAAATTTGAAAGCCATCAAGATATTTTTTTGCTAAGACCAAGTCCACTTTAAATTCAAAAAAAACCTTTAACATGTTTCTTTGGTATATATATCTTTATCTTTATAATTATCTTATTCTTCCACCGGAATTTGGTAACTTCAATAATGGTTGGTTGGTTGACATGGACAATGTCCAATGAAACAATGGCTTTAATTAGTGGATATCCGCAAACAAGATCCCATAGTGGTGAAAAATCTGATAAATCCAGATAATAAATTTAGTTTTGTGAACGGATTTCGTTTTTTCTTGTTCTTGTCTTTATTTCCCACTTTTCTTGAGCCAAAATTTAAACTTCTGAACATTGATAGCGGATATCTGCAAATATCTGCAAGGCACATGTCCGTAATTTCTTACCCGTTACTAAAATTGATTTGTGAATCTGCACGGATATCCAGATTTTTGTATCCACTGCTTTAATAAAGTATAAATATGTAAATGAGGTAACTAAAATAAGTCAATGATATAATATCCCGGACATCAAGCTTTGTATAGACGTCCCAATTTTGTCCGTCCAATGTCCGTGTCCGCATCTGGTGACAACACTACCTTCAGAGTAAACCTATAATTACTACCCTTCCTTGTATGAGAGCGAAACGAGGAAGAATTCAGAAATTGAGAAGTTATATATATCTGTGAAATCAGATGAGCGAGTTAAAGAACTTGCTTTGATGTAAAGAGAATTTCATTTTGATTTTTATCAAGTTAATTCATAATTAGTTATATAATAAATACTTGGGCAAGATCACATTTTAAAATTTTAACAATTTTAAACAATTTTTAACAATTTTAACAATTTTAATCACTTTTTATTATAAAAATATAATCATTTGTTACATTTGTTAAGAAATATATTAAATTGAAAGAAAAAATAAGGAACAATAATTATTTGCCCATCCATTGTCTAAACAATGGATGGTGTTTTACTTTTACTTTCTTATTATCTTTTTTCTTTTGCTCTGTTTTGTTATTTCTTCTATTACCACGGTTACTACCTTCACAATAAGCCATATTATCCGCCCCTGATAAACTTTTCATATTACCTACTGAGCGTTTAACTTTAGGGTAAAAGTTTCTACTAGTAACAGTGCCCGGTAAATCTTCCGGGTTATGCTCAATATCATCTAAATCTGCTGCACTATCATTGGCCAATAGAACTTCCGATAATAAAGACATTTGTTCACTATGTTCTCGATATGATAAATTTGGTTCTTCATTCATGCCTTCGAGTGAAGTAATTACTTTGAAAGCATAACCTTGATCTATTAAAAATTGTTGTCTTTTGGTTGAATAATGCATTTCTTGAGTATCCGTCGAAACAAGAGAATAAAAAAAGGCATTGAATCCTTCATCATTACGACGTTTTGCTCTGAGAATACGCCCTATGACAAAAAAAAAAAAATTTTAATTAAAATAATTCAATTAAAATAAATAATTTAATTCAATTAATAAAATAATTACCAAGTCGTTGAGCTTCCTGACGTCTGGAACCGTAATGAGATGAAATTTGAATGAGACAAGTTGCTTCGGGTAAATCTAATGATGTGTCACCAACCTAGATACATTAAATTATTATTAAGTTATATAAATAAATATAATAAAATTTTCAATAAAAATAAAATGGATGATGACAAATTTACCTTGGAAAGGAAGATTGTGTTAATTTTAGGATCATGTTGAAATTTTGAAAGATAATGCATTCTTTCATGAGGTTTTGTTTTACCATGAATGAATGGCACTTTAAGTTTTTTGGCATATTTCTAAAAATAACAGAAAAAATAACAGAAAAAAATGAGATGTAAGGTTTTCAATTGTTCATTAAATCGTAAAGAAAATGAATTATTAAATTTTAAATTACCTCCAAAGCAAACACATTATCGGAAAATACAATAACTTTATCTCCTCGATCTTCATGATATCGAATTAAAAATTCACAAGCTTGAAATTTATTCGGATTCATTGCATATAATAACATACGTTTTCTAGATGATGCATTAATGTATTCAGCATAAAATTCGGGTATCATGGGACACCAAACTTCTGCACATTGAACATTCGCTATATGTCCTTTTGAAGCCAAATCCATCCAATTGGCTTCATATAATTTAGGCCCAATCAAAAAATTTAAATCTTCAATTTTATCATCTTCACGAACCAAAGTTGCGGTTAAACCAAGTTTGGTGTGACCAGCTATTGTGGTAACTACTCTTCGAAACATATTTGCAGGTACAACATGAACTTCATCTAAAATAACAAGACCCCATTCTCGTCCAGTAATGAATTCCATCATCCTTGCTGCCTCATGAGATCTACTACGAGTATTGGCAACCATACTATAAGTTGAAATTACAATACCAGAATTACCAGAAAACTTTATATATGAAATGTACATATAAATATATAATATATATATAACATTAGATCACTATAATTCAATAAATTCGATTCAATAAAAAGAATATAATATTTTAAATGAAATAATATTTTACCTTTTCTTTATGATCTGATGTAAAAGATGCAATTTGACTTTCTTTTATATTAGACCATTGTAAAAATTGTTGTTTCCATTGCATTACAGAAACACTATTTTTTATATTAGAATATTAAATATAAAATTTAGTTCAACATTAAACATATTTCAATTATATTTCAATAAAATAAAAACAAATTCATATTTAAATGGGAAAATACTAACGCAGAAGTACAAATGATGAGACAACTTTTTTTAATTGTGCAAGCAGCAGTTATTCCAACAAGTGTTTTACCAGCACCACAAGGTAATACTATAATTCCAGACCTAGCTCGACTATAAAAAAAGGTATAATAACATTTGTTACAAAAATTATAAAAATATATAATCGAAAAAAAAAAAAGATTAATTATAATAAAGAATCAAATACCCATTTCCAAACATTTTACTAAGACATTTTTCTTGATATGGTCGTATCACGGTTATAGGTTTTAAATCAACATCAAGAGATGGCAAAATTGAATCATTTCGAAAATCATATTCCTCTAACATAGGATAATTAAGTTGATTGCAACGTCTCCTGACAATCTAATAAATGTGTTTGTTTTTGCGTGCGTGTGTTAGGAAGAGGTTTTTTTATAAATAATTTATATAAAAAAAAAAAAAAAATAGGAAAAATATTATAATATTTCTACAAGTCAATTACCTCAAATTTTTCTGGTATAATTTCAAATGAATGAACTTTATCCTCATCATCTTCATCATATTCATCTTCTATTAGAATTATTATAATTAAATGAATGTTTATTTTAAATTATTTTAATTATTAATTCACGTAAACAATATAATTATTAGACAATATAACATAATAAATACCTTTATCAATAGCTAATACGGCATTAAATATCTCCTCATCTTGAGTATCAGTTTTATTTTTATTCTCCAAAATTTTTTGATCATTATCTTTTTTACTGGAAATCACCCAATCTTTACTAGGTGAAGTCACATTTGACAAAAGTCCATTATTATTATTTTGAATATTTTGATTATTATTATTTTCATCTGTGTTTATAAATCGTGATTCAGCTATCTCTTTATCTTTTAATAACATTTGTAATACATCCGCATGTGATGATTCTACAAAATATCTATTATGTCTTAATAAAAGTTTAACTTTTCCATACGAAACTGTAAATTTTCTAATCATATCTATGAGTGACTCTGGAATATCCGTCTATTTTAAATACAATAATAATAATTAATAATTTTATAAATATCTCAGTAAAATAATTTTATAAATATCTCAGTAAAATAATTTACTAATTAAAATAAAAAAAATACCTTTGACATTCTTTTCAAGACTTCGATTATAGCCTCGGTCTCTAAACCCACTGATACTGCTGCATATAGTGAGTATGGTGTCATTTTATACTCATGAATTAAACTTGGTCTAAAATAAAAAAAAAATAAAAATAAAAAGATAAAAATTTATAAAAATGTGATGAACCATCTTAATTTGTCAATTATTATAAATGAAATAAAAAAATTTGATTATCTTATTTACCTACTAACAGGTTCACTAATTGTAATTAAAAAATCTTGTGCTTTATCAGCATAAGGAGAAAACCCTTCAAGAATTATGTAACCCGTAATAGGATTTATCCATAAAGGTCTATTCACATGGTCTTTCTTTAAACTTATATGTGAAAAGTCATTTTTTCCAAATACATGTGACGCTTCATCAAGTTTATTATCTTGATTTGTGTAAGCTTTTTCCAGCTCTTTATCTAAACCGATGGTTGCAATCTTTGGAAGAACTGTGATATGGTTTAGCATAATTCTTCTTTTTATGAGATAAATTTTTCTTTTTTAAAAAAAAAAAAATTATCTGATAAAATATACTTGGATCTTTTAAGTCATCGACTTTATTTATGTCTTCCATATCGGAAGTATAATCCATATCTGGATTTTTTGGATTTTTGGATAGTTTTTTACTTCGTTTAACATTTTTTTGAGTTATAGATTGATCTATTTTTTTAAAAAAAATATAATAAGCGAATTAAGTTGGATCTTTAAGTTTTTCAAAAAAAAAAAAACTTTTCTTTTAAAGAATTTGTTTAACGAATTGTAAATAATGAAAAGATCTTGTTTGATTCCAAACTTTATTAAATCTTTTACGTATCTTGATCTTTTTTTTGATCTAGATAACGAAATTGAAATACTAAACATATTCTTACCGTCTTGCAAACGGCGTTTTGTTAAAGACATGGTGAAATGTGAAATATAGAGAGTAAATTAAGTTTAATTTCGGGTATAAAGTGTGTAAAAGTCAAATAGAGTATGCTATGTAATTCTAATCAACTTGGATAGTCTTTTATATATATTGATTTGTAACCATAAAAGTATATCATGTGTGAACAGTGAACCTTTCAAATGACTAATTCGTATTTTAGTCTAGAATAAAATCCATTTATATTTAGTAGAATCATATTATCATATTTCTAGCATCTGTCAGAACACAATGCACTAAAACACATTACTAGTAGATTTAATTATATTAATTATGTTAAATATACTTAGTTTAATGACCCTTATACGTGATGATTTTACTATAAACTTCATATATCTAGGGGGCAAAAGTTTCATTTTTGATAAACTTATGGTTATTTTTTTGATATATCAAGATATGCGTGGTTATTTTTTGATATACCTTTTTATAGATTAGTGTTCTGATCCTATTTCAAAATACAAATCCAGATTTCCTTGATCAAATCTGAATTATAAATTCTTACCCTTAAATATTTATAATTAATTAGGATAAATCTAAATCCATCCCTATTTTTAGGATCCATTAAGATTTATTTTTATTTTTAGGATCATCAGTAAATTTTTTTAGGCATTAACCTTTGAAATATTTTCATTTGTTTTGAAGGATTTTTTGTATTTTTTGATTTCACTCATAAATTATAAATTGTAGAGCAATTTTCTACTAAGTTATTTCTAAGATAGAAAGAAAGACCTTGTTCTTGGCTACATAACAGTATATGTTTCATTGATATTGTGAAGTTATTTTAGTTTAAAGAAAAACATCTGTAAAAAAATTGTGATCCAAATTTTTTGCACGATTTTTTCACGGACACTTTTATTTAAACTAAAATAACTTTGCAAATATCAATGAAACACATACTGTTATATAGCCAAGAACAAGGTCTTTTTTTCTATCTTAAAAATATCTTAGTAAAAAATTGCTCCATGCTTTATAATTCACAAGCAAAGTCAAAAAATGTAAAAAATCCTTCAAAACAAACAAAAATATTTTGAAAATTAATGTCTAAAAAAATTTACTAACAATTTATTTTTATTTTAAGATCTATTCTTATTTTTTAGGATCTATCCTTAATTTAAATTTATTTTCATTTTTAAAATTATAATAATATTTTGAAATTATATAAAATTAAAATAAATAAAAAAAATTATTTTCAAAATTTTATTTAATAAAAATACAAATTACAATTTATTTTATAATTTTTTATTATTAATTATTCTTTAGTATCTCTTCAATTTTATCTCATTCTTTTACAAAAATTTCCATTAAATTAAGATTTCTTTTTAAAAAAAATTTTATCAGCTAAATTTGTATCTAATCAAATTTTTTTTGTTATAATTATATTACTAAAATGTGAAAATAGATAATTTTGAAAAAAATTGCATATTTACTTACTACTAATTTAACAGATTTACATTTTCTAATATAGCTGATTTTGCTAAATACAGTAGCAGTCATAAATATCTGAACTATACTTGCATACAAAATTATTTTGGAGCTCCGAAATTACAATTTTGAAGAAAAAAGTCAAAATAGTTTTTCATAGAAGACAAAATTATTTTACTTAAAACCTGAAATTTTTTGATTACCCAGATTTATTCTTTGATTAAAGATACATATAACTAGATACTTTTTTTACTTCCAAATATAGAATAGATTTTACATAAATCTCAAAAAGTCGAAATATCTCAAAAATTCAAAATCAATTTTGGGAACATATATAATCCAAATTCTAATATTGACAAATGTTATATTATAAAAATTCTTAAAATTTTTCAAATATAAAGTGTGACATGACACCTGATTACTAGTACTTTCATAGGTTCGTACAATATTTTTGAATGATCATCTGATATTGTAACTAAAAAATAAAACTTTTTATTAAAAAATGATATAAAATAATTTTTTTACATGAATATCTAGCAAGACCAAAGTGGAGTTTTACAAAAATAACAACTTATATTTACTGTGATAAGATTACAATTATTTATTGGATCAAAAAATACCATAGAAATAAAGATCTAAGTGATGAAAGAAAATCAAGTCGTCTGTGATATACAATTAAGAAACAAGATGAACAAATAATAGAGATAACGAAGGTAGAACATAATATAACAAGTAACCAAATAAAAGAAAAAATGAATAAACGTGATACAAGGATTAGTATAAAGACTATAAGGTTACGTCTTCATGAAGTTGAAAATAAATATATTAATAAAATCTTAAAATTTTTACTTATAGAAAACTACTAGAAAAAATAGCTGTAATAGATAAAGAAACATTAAAACTTTAACTGAAATCAAGTTATTTTTACAGATGAAAATACATTTTAACAAAAAAAAAAGTTTGATAATTTATTGAAAAAAAATATTTCATACTGTTAAGTATCTACAAAAAGTTCATGTATAGGGGTGTTTTTCAATTTTTGAATTTGATAAATTGATATATTTTTAAAGAAACCTTAATATCAATTTTATGTGTAAGATCTATAAGAAAGGATTTTTACCTTCAGCTTCTGAATTTTTTGGTAGTGATAATTTAAACTGGTTTTTTTAAAAAGACAATAATTTCAAGCACTGGTTGAAAATTTGTACAAAGTGAAAAATAAAAAAAAATATTAAAATATACCCTTGGTCGTCAATGTCATCTGATTAAAATCCTATAGAAAATGTTTAGTAGTTAATAAAAATAAATATAACAAAAAAAAAATCAATACAGTTAAAAGTTCAAAGGGTGAATTAGTAAAGAAATGGTATTATCTCTTATCTGATCTTATTAAAAAATTAATAGATAGTATAAAATATACTTGCACGTAAAATTATTTTAAGTTTCTGAAATTATAATTTTGAAGAAAAAAGTCAAAATAGTTTTTTATAAAAAATAAAATTATTTTATTTAAAATTCAAAATTTTTTGACCATTCAGCTTTATTCTTTGATTAAATATACACATAATTACATACTTTTTTTACTTCTATATATAGAATAGATTCTACATAAATCTCAAAAAGTCAAAATATTTCAAAATTCAAAATCAATTTTGAAAACACATATAATATGAAATATCATATAATAGCACTTATAGATTCAAATGAAGATTACATAATATATTAATTATTATTACTATTTGTCTACCTTTTAATAAAAAAAAAAATTATTAAATTTATTTATTTATATGAAAAATTAAGGGGATCAGATACTTATGGCCACTACTATAACTATCTACTTCATCAATATTAATATTTATATTTGATTAAATTAAATTTTTATTTTTCATTTGACGATATTGATAATATTCTTTATATGAACATTGTTAACCTTGGTTTACCTTCTAAACAAATTAAAGAAAACTAAGTGACTGATAGTAAAAATTGTATTTATAGACTTTAAACGTTATAACAATTAACTACAGTTAGATGGATATTGTTGTGAATAAAGTAATGATAAGAAAGATTTGGATAAGGTGAATTTGGTCAAAAGAGACTAAGGGTATAAGGTTTTATAAGGATTTACTAGCTAACTATTATTACAAGTCATGAAGACAACAAAGTTTTATCAAGAAACTAAACAAATTTATAAAGAACTTAATATCTTAACCTAGATTACAAAGTAGGGTTAATTATTAAGTAACTATAATACCGAGATCATGAAGTAGGATATTATTAATCAACAATTACTCTTATTATCAAGAAGAGAATAATAATAATTAAAATTGCCAAGATCACAAAGCAAGACAAATAATAAGAAGATTTTTACTAAAAAAGTCACAATATAACTATATAATTTATCAAGAAAGATATCAGTTTATAAATAATGTTTTATTTCGAGTTATTAGAATATTCAATTCTATATCAACTGTTCCTTCAAGAGGAATAGAAATAATTTCTATTTATATAAAATTATGATCATATTGTGAACTATAATTACTATCTTCAAAAAAAACTCTGAAAGTTTTTGTAATATTCCAGTACAATTATTAATGATGAAGGTATTTTACTTAGGTATTCTATTGATAGTTACCAGAGGTATTTTATCTCGTATTACGTAATGTTACATATCAGAAGTATTTTACCTCTGTTACTCGAATTATATAAACAATAGATACTAATAATTGAAATGTGATACAAGAATATAAATATACTAAACTAAAAATAGATAAAATAATACATATATGAAATACTAATATAATAATAAAATAATAATAAAATAAATTATACTAAGAATATATATATATATAAAAACAGGGTCAACAACGTAATGAAAATTCTGTATTATTTGTTAAAAATATAATTAAATAATTCTATATATAGATAATTAAAGAATATACATATAAACTATACTGTATAAAATGTTATTTTGTACTATACGATATATAACTTATATGATTTATTTGTAATTTGTATAGTTGATTAACTGATATCACATGATTTTTTTTTCATACATATCACAAAATGATTAATTACCAATTTATATTATCAAGAAAAATGATTTTTTTAATAAAAAAATTTTTTAATGACATATTTTATTTAGAGTAAAATGGAAAAAAACTATATACTCTTTGATAAAGAATATAAAAAACTTATAAAAGAAATAAGTTTAAATACAGAAATATATAAAAGAGAATATTTTAAATATTTTTATATGTATTTAAATACTTTTTAATATTTTTTTGAGTTTTTAACCTGTTTTACAATGATTTTTTTTTGTTCCAACAAGGTCTTGTCTCAAATTTATTAATTAAAAAAAGAGAAGTTTTTTACATTATATAAGATTACATAATACAAAATACATAACTTATTCTAATGTTATTTGAAAAGATGAGACTCAGACTAACTCATAAGAGACAGGCTCACAACCTACCACCTGACCTGTTTTACAATGATAAACCTCAATAATATATATATTTTTTTAAAAAAATTTTTTATATTATTTTTATTTTTTTAT